CGATAAGAGCGTGGCCATCTCCTGTCCCGCCAGGGCATGTGCTCATCCACTGACATCGGTGTCCTCTGAAAAGGGGGAGTCATCTGGCAAAATGCCACTTTGCCAACTGTGTTCAAGTCTCCCATTTGACCAGATATTGGGAAATTTGTTCACACCAACTTGCGCAGAAGCAACAGACAGTCCTGTGCTCTCAGTGGATTAGCAGGTCATCACACCAGTGCTGGGTCATGGGGTACGGGCAGAGCTGTGGCTCGAATTCCCAGAGTTTAGGCAGTGGGACTCATCATTCTGGCCAGGGTGCTTCTGGCAATATGGTCATGGAGGCCACATGTTTGCACCAACCGAAACTTGGTGCCATTGGCACCGCAGAGTGAACACCACACAGAAGCAGCATGCCATCTTCTCAGCCTTAGCTGCCTCGGCCTTACCAGCGCTGGTCATGTCTAAAGGCCATCGTATTGAGGAAGTTCTCAAACTTCCTTTGGTGGTTAAAAACAAAGTTAAAGGCTACAAGAAGACCAAGGAGGCTGTTTTGCTACTTAAGAAACACCTGGAATGACATCCAAAAGGTCTATGCCTCTCAGCAAATGAGAGCTGGCAAGAGCAAAATGAGAAACTGTCGTATCCATCGCAGGGGACCTTGCATTATCTACAATGAGGACAATGGCATCATCAAAAACATCCCTGGAATTACTCTGCTTAATGTAAGCAAACTGAACATCTTCAAACTTGTTCCTGGTGGGCATGTGGGCTGATTCTGCACTTGGACTGAAAGTACTTTCCGCAAGTTAGATACAAAGCTGCCTTGGTGTAAAAGCTGCCTCCCTCAAGAATAACTACAACTTTCCCATGCACAAGATGCTCAGTACAGACCTTAGCAAAATCTTGAAAAGCCCAGAGACCCAAAGAGCCCTCTGAGCACCACGCAAGAAGATTCGTCAGAGTCCTGAGAAAGAATCCACTGAAAAACCTGAGAATCATTTGGTTTGAAGCTAAACTCAGATGCAAAATCCATGCACTGGAACACCATTCTTCTCCAGGCCAGGAACCACAAACTCCGGGTGGATAAAGCCGCAGCAGCGCCTGAAGTCAAATCACAGGAGAAGGGGATTCCGGGCAAGAAGCCAGCGGTAGAGAAAAAGGAAAGGAGGCTGTTGGAATTACAAAGAAGAAGGAGCTTTTGGTGGGAGAAAGGCTGCAGCTCCCAAGAAGCCAGCAGCTGAAAAGAAGCCTGCGGGAGAGAAACCCACCACGGAAGAAAAGCAGCCTGCAGCATGAAATGAAATGTGTTTATTCCATAAAGGTCAAATCACTTTGGACAGCTAGTTTTAAATAAAAACCTGATCAAAGAAGAAAAAAATCAAGATTCTGTATGCTCAGAAATCACAAGAAAGCAAGTAAAAAAAAATGAATAAAAACTAGAAGAGACATACAAGCTGGGTGCTGTGAATATTTAGCAGAAGGATTCATTTTGGTTGGGCAAATCAGGAAAGGTTTTATGGAGAAGTTGACGTTTGAGAATTTAAAAGATGCATTGACCACTCACTGGCCTACATTGTCAGAGACAGAAGAGCAGGGCCTTCCTGCCAAGAGCACAGGTGGAAACTTCACCTATACAGAAGCAGAAAACAGAAAAAAACACAGGATATGTTAAACATTGAAACACTGGACATTAAGATGAACCTCAAATTCCATGTGCTATAAAAATTCAAAGCCTTCCCCAAAATTTCCACCAATTCACAGACAGCTAGCATTCTCTTGGTCAAATTTGATGGCAAGCTTCAGATTTAGTTTCTGCTTTTAGATTGACTTCCATCCTGCCTGGGCTCTCTGTTCTGGATCAAACTGGATGAGAAAATTAGCCGCTTCCCTAGTCTCCATCAACTACTGACATCCCCTCAACACACAATGTAATATAATCTACGTAAGACTTGGGTGGTCAGCGGAGGTTGTCACTGGAAAACATATTGGGCTGTCGGAAAAGTCATGACACTTATTTGCAATGAAAAACATAGAAAAAATACATCATGACTTTTCCAAACAACCCAATACAGCTTCAGTTTAAACCCTTGATATATTTGCCCTTAAAAGCTTTCCAGCCACCCAATTACTGAGGTTTCCATGGCCTCCTTATTCCCTCTGTCCTCAGCTGAACTGCCTCATGTTCTTCTCTTCTCCTTATTGCTTCCTCTCAGGACCAGAAACAAAGTCTCCGTGTCTTATCTTGCAGAACAACTCAGCCTTTTCTACCCTTTGGTCTTAATATCTGCTTTAAACCCACCTTTGCCCATCAAAANCGCGCCACTCAGCCGGCTCTCAATTCATTTTTAAGTGATCATTGTACTCCAGCATTCGCAGGGTTACATGCTCCTTTTCCTAAATTCAGATTCAAGGATTTTATGTTCATGCCAGTCTTCACACCCCTTATTTCACTCTATCCCAGAAGATAATTCACTCCACTGCTGCAATTTCAGCATCAGTCAGTTTTCCATCTTCCTCCCTGACTTTGTACTAATCAGCTGCTGCAGCAACAGCAGAGCAGCCTGGATGTGCCAGCCTTCCCCCTGCATGAGAAGTGCCTGTTAGGCAGAGGGATGTACCGTATCTGAAATCATGTTGGGGAGACCAGACTTGGCTCAATCAAACTAATGCACTTCTAAAAACGGACATGAATTTTGCAGCCCACTTAATCATGACAGGGCTCTCAATCTGCCCGGTTCCTTACAACATGTTCACTTGGCAATCTATAGAAGAGTCTTCAATCTAAAACTCACCCGGAAAGATTCTGTACTTTTTCAGAGATGGCAGTAATGGAAAAAAACAGAGTTCGAGCTATCCTGCAAAATAGGTTTAACCTCACTTGTATTATGAGCTTAGCACTTACTAGGCACTCCGTAAGTTACTTTGCTTTTCCTAAGGAATAGCCTAAAAGTTCGTATTTCTCATACTCGACATATTTGAAATGTATCCATGACTGGCATTAATGGCTCCTCTTCTTTTTGTAGATTAAAATTATGCGAGTTAAGCAAGAAGGAATTCTTTACGTAGATGATGCCTCCAACAGAACCATCAGTCCCAAGAATGCTGATATCCTGGATGTTGTGGGAATGTTGTATGTTGGTGGGCTACCCATCAACTACACTACCCGAAGAATTGGTCCAGTAAGTGTCTAATTTGTTTCTTTGTGGCCTAAATAACTGGCTGAGTCATGTATTTTGAATTATTAGGTCACATCGTCCCATGACCACTTTTAACTGGATAGGAAACCATCTTCTCCGAGAAGCGACACATGGTCTTCTAGGCAGATTTGACTACGAGAGGCAATGTCTCAGCGCAGAGTATGGACCCTAGAGCCAGACTCCCTCAGTTTGAATATCTGCTTTAGTATTGACTAGCTATGTGATCTTAAGCAAGTTACCTAATCTTTCTTTGACAGAGTTCCCTCTTTTGTAAAATAGGGTAATATTAATACCAAACAAACAAGGTTGCTGTAAAGACTAAGTGAGGTAATATATTTAATGTGCTTGGAGGAGTACCAGGCATATAGAAAGCAGTGAACAACGAAGATGATAATGGTATTGATAGGATTGTTTCAGAACTAGAGATTTAGCAAACATTGAGAGATGAGGTATTTATAGTTACCCAATACTGGATTCAGAATTTAAAGTCCTCACAATTTGGTAAATCAATATTCACAAAATAATTTTTTGTCAGACCGTGTGTCCTGGTTTGCTTTGGAAAGTATTATTTTAAGAAGCATAAGGGATTTGTGTTTTTAGAGAATACACTACATACAAGCGTGCTCCGTTTCTATAATCAGATCGGGACACATGATAATGTAGAGTTGTTCCTCATCAAAGACAATTGTTAATCACAGTTGTAATTCTCAGGATTTGGCTTCTCTAATGGATGATCTGCATCACTTTCCTTTCATAGATGTTGGTTATGCTACCGAGGCCTCGCAACTGAGAATCTTTGAAATGAGAGTGACAAGAGTGATTAACTTGCATCCTAAAACCAGATAAAATATAATGGAGCAGAGTATGATTGATTTATTTCGATAGCCCTGAAACGTAGAATGTTTTATGCAAACTTTCAAGTTTTATGTGTATGTGTGTTTTCTTAGGAAAGGGTCCCACTGCTCTGATTAGATTTTCATAAAGAAGAAACACAGAACCAAGTCTTTCCAGATAGAATTTCAACATAGCTTATGACAAAAGGTGTATATAGTAAGGTTAAAAAACTATTAACAGAAATGTAAGAGACTAATGAAAAGTTATGATACCCATATGGGCCCATAGCTCTGTGCGGTATTTAGAATATCAGAACGGTCATATTCTAGGCGAAATATATCCTAGTTGAGAAGCACAACACAGGATGCTCTGCACCCATGTTGTGAAACCTGATAGTGCAGATCGAGGCAGTTGGAGATACTTTAAGACAAATGGCTGGTGATGACACGCTTAGAGCACCCCACAAATGACTGCACTCCACATAAGGGCAAAGTTCTGCTAAAACCTGATATTTGTTTCTTCTGACCTGAATAATAGGTGACCTACAGCATTGAGGGCTGCATCAGGAATCTGCAGATGGCAGAGGCCCCTGTTGATCTGGATCAGCCAACCTCCAGCTTCCATGTTGGGACATGTTTTGCAAATGCTCAGAAAGGAACCTATTTTGATGGAACAGGTTTTGCCAAAGCAGGTGAGGTGTTTCCGTTTCCTTCCTGTTGACTACAAACTAGATACAAATAGGAAACTTCTTGCTTGGTTGGAAGAATGAAAGTCCCCAGAGTCCTAGCCTAAACTAGTATCTTTTATGTAAACCAGCCATAAAAACCTGCAGAAGTAATTTTAAAAATGCCTCTTGCAGATTAATGTATTAATGATTCTGATAAGACCTAACAGGAGAAATAAACTAAAAGTCCCTTTAGAGAGTTTATTTCATCTCCTTCCCTGGAGATCAATAAAAGCGAAATAAATGTAATTCTGCAAGAAGGTTCATAAGTTTATGCTATGTAATTTATCTACTTTCCAATTTCCCCTGTCTACCTTTCGGGAGATGAGATAACATTTTTCTTTATTTCTCCCTTCATTTTCTTGCAAGCCTCCATTTCTTGATCTCCCCTCACACACACAATGCACACACATACTGGTGCCCGTTTCTTTTTTTTTTTTCCCCCATATAATTCTTTTTTTAAATTAGTTTGAGGTGTACAAAACAATGCAATAGTTATACTTTTCACCCCTCACAAAGTGACAACCCTCTCCCCC